ATCAAAATACTTACTTCTGACATATCATGAATAATGAGAACTTCACCACGACGGTAGCAACCATGATACAAACTGTGGTTAATGAGACGTCAAGCTTAGGTTGTTCCCCCACACCTGAAAGTTTTTCTTCTATCAGATCCACGGGCTACATTCCGAGTAAGACAGAACTAGTGAGAAGTAGTCATAAATCGAAATACAAATTACCATGAACGTGAAATTGGTAGGCAGCATGTATCCGCGTTATTGCTCCAAAAATTAGCTGTACACTAGCAACGCCCATGACAACGCTGATGACAATCTACAAAACAGGGGAGCTTTACGCATACGAATGCTTAAGGCGTAAAAAATGTACCAAAGACAGCGGCTCCAGCCTAGTTCGTCCTCGTGGGTAAAGGTATGGATCCCGCTTCTTTATCATTCGAGTAGAGATCGATATCACAAGTCCCGAGGTAATGTCAACGCACGAATCAACGAGTGAGGATAGAATTGACAACGAACCAGACAGATATGACGCAACAGCCTAAAAATGGTAAAAGTTACATCTCAGCAGTACAAGACCCATTTCCACGAAGAAGCATACCTTCGCCAACATTAATGTTACGTTCACCACCAAAGTAGCGTGTGCTAATCGCACAGCTGCTTTGCCTGAAGCTTTCGCTGCGTCCTGAGCCGCTTCATGCTTTGCCCTGAAAAAGAAAAGACGCAAATAAATAGAGATTCTTGCATAATATGGACCCACAACAAGGACCTATCCGACGAAGTTTCAGATGGAATACGCTCACGAACACTTATATCCGCTTCTTCGAGAAGATTTGGAGGTACTCGCCCAGGTTGTCCTATTTCAACATCAGATTCGCCATCCTATATCATTATAATAAAAACACGAGATCCTTCATACAATAATTGCTAAGCGAGTTCTGAATTTCCGATGCTCACCGTATTCTTCAATAAAGGCGCCACAGCCGTCTCCAAAGAGCTGGATAAGTCGTTGCTTGCCCGTCGATCTTTACTCTCCTTGCTTACAGAATTCCTTTTCGAAGGGACCATGTCCTCTTTGATTA